GTTATCTAGAACGGTCCTTAAGTATTGTGGAGGCCCTATTAATATAAGCAGGAGAGTAAATGTGAAAGTTTTTAAATCCTGAATATTTTAATCCTAAATTTTAATTATCTTGAATATTTTATTTAGGATTTTGTAGAAAATTATAATTTTAGGGTCCTTAATGAGCCTAGATCATATCGTGAAATCCCAGATCACAGAAAGAAACAAGAAAAACACATGCAAGTACAAACATGCAATATGATGCAAAAAGAAAAAAAAAACAAGTCAAATCAAAATAATTAACAGGCCGGTGCCGCTGGTTCGGCAATATATTTCAGAAAAGAAAAAGGCGGCCGAACTTCGCATATACATGCCCGATCCTAATTCTATATATCAATATAAAATGTATAATTAAGATATGGGGCACGAGCATCTGCTCCTGGTCCCCTTCACGTAGTTCCTGCGCCAAACGCCTCAGAACCCGTGCCCGTATCTTATTTCTATTACAGGACTCTCCTAGACTCTAAAAGTACATAGGAAAATAAAAGACTCAATCCTGCATGAAAACAATCATGCAAATAACGTATCATGAGCCATGCATTAAAAGTGGGGAGATAATAGCACCTGCAAGCAAAAGGGTTAGAAATCATTATTTGCTCCCCCTATAGCGGTATCTGTGTGTGTGCAAATAAATAGACATGGCTCCCTGCAGAAAAGTGCCCTAACACACAAGTGCCCTAACACACTACCACAACACACTACCACACATATGCAACATGCAGTCACATCACAAACACAATGCAGAAGAAAGATACCTGATTATGGCAACCAATCCAGCAGAGAACAATAGTCAGTCATCAAAAAAATTACCTAACACCCTAAATCCTAGCCTAGCACACCATCTAACGAAAAGTGCGTCAATCTAGTATCTAAGTGCGGGGTAGGTCTGAGTATAGTATGACTTTACAGGGTCGTCATATGACCCCATTCTAAAGATCCGAAAGATCTAAAGGTTGTCACGAAGAGTAGTGACACGAGTTAGATTTATTAGATCTTTAGCACAATCATACTCATGTCAATTCTGTCAATTCTGATGACTTAACCTCGCATTGCTCACTGGGATCAACCCAGCAAGCAATGTTCGTTAAGGCGTCGCAACCAACACAATGTCACTCTCCTAACGAGTTTGACTTGCTATCCATGTAAACATGCAAATGCAAATGCAAATGTAATCAATCATGTGACAGAAGTGATGAATGTACCGTAGAGACAGTGACTCGGGAAAAGATGGGTATGCCGTGGAGGCAGCGACCCGAACCAATGAGTGTGTCGTAGTGGCAGTAACCCGAAGGGTAGACGTGCCGTAGAGGCAGTGGCCCGAAGAAAGGTGTACTGAGGCGGCAGTGACCCGGAGACTGGTGATTCTTGCTGGGGAGCATCACCCAAATGCAAATACAAACCGGAGACTGGTGATTCTTGCTGGGGAGCATCACCCAAATGCAAATACAAATGCAAATGCAAACACATATAGTGCAACATGCAAGCAGACAAACATGTGATATAATGCAAAAGGAGACAAAAATGCAGGTGATCGGTCGACCGGGCCGTGGTGGCCGGGGTGAACCAAAGTGAGACGCTCACCGAGCCGGAGCGGCCTATCAGAGCGAAGTGAAATGCTCCTCGGGCCGGGGTGGCCGGTCGGAGCGAAGTAAAATGCAACATGCACCCAGCAAAAATGCAGTATGCAACAAACCAACATGCGGCTAACAAACCAAGCTCATGCTAACGATCTCACCTAGGAGACTTAAGGTTTAGACCCTTGGATGTGCAGCACCGCCGTCTCTTGCTTTGGTGAGGAAATGTGGGGAATTTATCCCCGAACCTCTGAGGGGGAAACTCTCCACGACGTCGCAAAATAGACTAGCTACAAAGCTTTTCTCATTTTGTGAACTCCTCCAGACTTTGTAAAACAAGCCAGCCACAAAGCTTCTCTCGCTTTGCCAAGTCCAACCTCCCAACTTCTTCCAAGTAAAGTTGAGGAATTTAAAGCAAAGGGAGTGAGAGACTCCGACCAATCGGGACTTGTGCTAAGGCTCACAACAAGAGAGGAGACACTCGGCTCTACGGGGGGTATTTGGCCACGCACAGGAAGTCCTAACCTAAAGGCTAGTTCTAGGAAAACCAATGATCCATCACGCAGGCACGTCGTTGCGCCGACCCACGCCGGCGCACACACCCCGTATGGGCGATTGAACCCACACGCCTAGACTCTACTATTCCTAAGGCTGGCTAGAAGGTAGAAAGTCTCACCACCGTGACGGTTGCAGACGCGTTTCTTTGCTTGCTCCAAGCTCGCCCACGTCCAATTCATGCTCCAGTGTGTCTCGTAAGGCGTGCATGAGACAACAAAAAGATAGGGGAGGCAGTGAGGGCAAGAGGTATGCGAAGTACCAAAAATAAATAATTTAGCATATAAAAATATGCGACCAAAAAAAAATGTACCTTCGCGAGAGAGGATCGCTCGACGACGGTGAAAGAGAGGAAGCTTTCCTCGCAATGAGAAAGACATTCACACCTCTCCACGGCCATGTATCACCGCTACTCGGCGACATCGAGGTGCTCCGGCGAAGTGTCCAGTCGTCGGGAAGATAAAATGGCGAGGTGGAGGAGTTAGCTCGCCGGCGGTGCGCATCGAGAGCGAAAGAAACACAGAGGAGAGCCCAAAATTTGAAGTTCTCATCGCTGATTTTCTCCTGTATAAATTCGACGCCGGTGAGGAGGGAAGCCGGCGAGGAGGAAGAATCTCAAGGTGGTCGGACAAGGAGTAGGAGAGATGTTTGACTGGCTGCTGGAGGAGCTTCAGTGGCCGTAGGGGAGTCGGTGCGAAGAGCTTTGCCAGCGAGAGGAGCTCCGGCGTCGGACGCGAGGAGGTTGGGTAGGCTTCGCGGACCGGAGAGGGAGCAGCGAAATTTGCAAAATGAATGGAGAAGGAGCGTCGCCGTGGAGGGAGGAGACGCCAGCGAGCTCGTCGACGGTGTCGCCGGCCATGAGTCGGGGGCGAGATCCGCGAGGGAGGAAGAGGCGGCTAGGTTTCGGATGGCAGCGAGATAGAGGGAGGAGAGGCGTGAGTTTTGAGTTATATATATATATCGGCGGGAAGCTAGGGCACGGGATGCCCTTTTGGCGAAAATAAGGGAGTCGCGAAAAAAAATCGGTCGGCAGTGTGCTTGAGTTTAGGGATTTCAAATTACTTTTTTTTATGATAATAATGTTATTTATTATTTAAACTCCTCTATTTGGGCGTTTTTCGAACGTGCACGGACTCGCGGCGAATTGGATGTCCTTCCTGGGTAAAATCGACGTTCCGGACGCGTTGGCGCAATCCATTTCATCATTCGGGGTTATCTGGAGCACTTTTTCGACTATCGTGCCCAAAACGATAATTCACACATTTTTACCCCGCCCCCAAAGCCGCCCACAAAGCCGTAGCGAAGTAGACGTCCTCCGTAAGCAAAATTGACATTCCAGACACATTGGCGGGGTCTGTTTCATCATCAGGGGTCATCTGGACCACTTCGTCAAGCGATTGGGCCAATTCGAGCCAAAAATTGCGCGCGACGCGCCACATAATATTTTTCGCCCCGGTCGGAGTCGTCCGACGTGCCAAATGCTGACCGGCCTTCACCTAAGCGAAAGTCATAGCCTAGCAAAATGACCCGACTACGTGCCCCCTCAACACGCGTCGAAAAGGTCTCTGGTAGATGTCTGAACTATCGGACGTCACGGACAGACCGTAAACTATCCTAAGTCATGCAGGTGGACAACCTACACTCGTGACATCAAAAATTGATGCCAACAATAACATCACCAAAGCACAAAATGACTCAAACAGATACCTCAAAAGTGTATTCCAAGGGCGGTGGAGGTTGGTTAGGTGGATTGGGGTGGTTGGACAGCAAAAGGTAAGGCCGAATAGCGAGCGGGGAGGTTGTATATCATGTGGGGAAGGCTGGACAGCAAAAGGTAAGGCCAGACGGCGAGCGGGGAGGCTGTATAGCAACACACAACAAAAAAACTCTCTAGACTCTTAGCAAACCAACATACATATAGCTATAATTAGACGAGAAACAAGAAAGGAAAGAAGAGGGGAAAGGAAAGAGGAGGAGGCGGCCGGTAATGCTTGAATTGAGCGGGAAAAGCAAAAAAGGAAAGATGCCAATGCAGCCTCTCCCCCAAATCCCCTACGATCTGGGCGGGAGACGCGAAAGGACAGGTCGCCTAGTCCGTCTGATGCCACTTGCCCATTTGGATGTCTGAACCAGGCTCCTTGGACCGTTCTTACCAGTCGACTGCTTGTTCCAGTCTTCATTGGACCATGCAGGAACCCGCTTCTGCATCCACGCGGTGGAAGCCCCGCGTCAGTTTTATTGAAATGAAGTGTAGACTCAATTAAAGTTTATGTGCTTAAGCTACTTGGTGTTAAATTTTTTGTGGTTTCTTGTGATGTAGTTGTTGATATTGGTGCTTGTAAAAGTCAAGTAGAGATACAATGTGTTTTATTAGTCAGAAAATTAATGTGTCAAGAAACATAGATAAGTATTGTTCCAGCTTTACCTTTCTTGGATGCTCTAATATTTTAGAATGCACCTTATATTGTTATCCTACCTATTTGAACTTCGTTGGAGTCATTTGTGATTTTGGAAAGCGGTACAAAAAAACTCTGCTTAAAACGTAGCTAGGTCTTGGCTTTTGGTATCACCTGCTATTACTAATTTTATGGAGAAAAATACTTTTTAACTGTACCTTTTTAGCCTACATTTTTATCCAAATTGAGCTTTCATAAGTACTGTCATTTTGCTTGAATATGCTTGCAGATTTATATGTATTATCTGTTAACAAGTTTTGTCATTATATTGAATCATACTGTTTCATATATCGTGTTCTTCTCATGTTTCTATTGCTACGCTACTAGAAGTTTAGATTCGGTTAAATTTGATTAAATTTTCCAGGTACTTTTGTAGGCCCTTGAACATTGTCACTCTCAAGGCATCATGCACCGAGATGTCAAGCCTCATAATGTCATGATTGATCATGAACAGCGGAAACTTCGTCTTATTGATTGGGGTTTAGCAGAGTTCTATCATCCTGGAAAAGAATACAATGTCAGAGTTGCTTCGAGGTTCACCTTTTAACTTTTAATTCATATATTCATCATGCACTTCTTTGTTCAATTTGATAAATGTTTCTCCTATATTGAAATTATCGTCATACAACGAAGCAGCATTGAAGTTCTATCTTGTAGGTCAAATGCAGAGTATACTCCCAACTAATTGCTCTCTTGGTGATGGCCATTTTGGTTTTGGAAGGTTGTAACATTATGAGAGACGAATAGGTCAAGGATTGAGATGAAATCATAATGTTACGATTGATAATCAAATGTGGTCATTAAGATCAATTTATAAAATATGAACCAGAATGTCAATACATTTTGTTATACTTTTATTTCTCCATGTAATTATTGTTGAGGTAGAATAGTTATCATTTAAATGTGAAAAGCTATATTTATGATGCCCAAGTGAGTCAGTAGACGCTTTTTTCTCCTTTTTTTTCTCTCTCCATTCTTTTTATTTAGTTTCCTTTACTTGTCCTTTTTTTTTTATTTTCTAGCTAACCTAAGATACAGAGTTAAAGAGGGTAAGCTGTGTGGTTGATTATGTTGGATTGTTGTGTGCTGTTCCTAATAAAATTGATATGGAAGGGCCACTCTACCATTGCTCCAAACTTTATGAAAAGTAATGTTGCTGTAACACTAAACTAGAGAATGCTTAAACAACTATAGATCCAACAGGAAAACCATAAGAGGTAAGGTCAAAGAGGAAGATTCTTACTATGAAAAATATCTCGAACTTCTCCGTTTTGGCAAAGAAGGTGAAATGACCTGACCAGCACTGAATTTTATTAGCTGAAGTTCCACTTTTTTGGCGAATGGTGTCATGAGTAGCTCCTCGATATTTTGTTGAACTTTTTTTATTTTCTAGTTTTACATTTATTAGCTGACAAAGTATGGTTGAAAAAGATTTTGTTTTGGGTGTCTAAATTATAAATTTATATTCATGACACTGTCATTGCTATTGCTTTAAGGATATAATCAAACTTTTATCAAGTACAAATGTTTTGATCAAGGAGGGTGAATATCTTACGTGACACTTAATGGTTAGCTACAATTAGGCACTCAAATTTATTTGCATTTGGCCTTGAGTTCCATAAGGCAATTTGAAATCGGGTATAGTGAGCCAACATATAATGAAATCATTTAGAAGCGGTCTTCTGAATCCTGAGGCACCTAAAGATGACTCTAGGATGTGTATTGATATCAAGAAGATTGAGAATACTAGCATAGAGATCTACACTAATGTTAGTTTGTAGGAGAACTTACTGATAGAAGATCTACCACAGGTTATTCTTCATTTATATGGGGTAACCTTGTTACTTGGAGAAGTAAAAAATCAAGCTGTGGTAGTAAGAAGTAGAGCAAAATATGAGTATCGTGCCACGACTCCAGGAATTTGTGAAGGGATGTGGCTAAAGAAACTATTGGTGTAATTTTATGCGGAGAACCAAAGCACTATTATGATGTTCAGTGATATTCAATCAACCATCAATATCTCAAAGAATCTGGAACATCATGATTGAACCAAACATATAGAGATTGATAGACATTTTATTTCTGAGAAGGTCAATGGAGGGATTATTCAACTAATCTATATTCCACTTCAGTATCAGATTGCTGACATTCTTACTGAAGTTTTTCCGCGACACCACTTCAGTGATCAAAGCAACAAGTTTGGGATGTATTACATATACATCCCAACTTGAAGAGGAGTGTTGAAATGCATATCTAGTTTAGAAAAACTATTGTCAGCTATTACATTTGAGGGAGAGATTATTCTCCCTTAATTATCCATTACCGTGTTTAATTTATTTCATCTTTTATCTTGATTTGATTTTGCCTCTAATTGTATGAGGGTTAGGCTGAGTTGTATATATATTTTTTATTTGCTTAATGAGAAATTTAGAATGTTTATTCCTCCCAAAAATCTACATATCTCATGTCCAATATATCATCTTATACTTGTAGAGAAAAATATGCTCCTAAGGAAAATTAAAATCTTGTTTTAATTTTTGAATCATTTGTCTTATGTTGCTTATGACGCCAGCTTGTTTGCAATTTTAAAAAGTTGAAAACTACTCTCAACTCTTAAATACATCTTATTCACCCCTAATCCATTTGAGGCTGTGCATTGGCATAACATTAAACTGTTGTTTTACTAATTATGTAAATTTTGATGAGTTCTCCTATGCGCAAACTTATTTTCTAATTCATTATGATTATTTTATTATGAAGCTTAAGTTCTCAATCTTCTACTTGAAATCCTGTCCTTTTGCTGTCATTGATGAATATGCCTCCTTTTTTTTTCTTCATGTCCAGGTACTTCAAGGGTCCAGAACTGCTTGTGGATCTGCAGGACTATGATTATTCGTTGGATATGTGGAGCCTTGGATGTATGTTTGCTGGGATGGTAAGTTACTGACATGGCAATAATGATTGATACCATTCTATTTTCTGTATTAACACCTGCTGGTCTCTACTGAACAGATATTTCGGAAGGAACCGTTCTTCTATGGACATGATAATTATGATCAATTGGTAAAAATTGTAAAGGTATGCTGTGATGTTTAAACACGATTTCAAAAAATATTATTTTTGCCAGAATCTTGTGTCAATTTATTAATTTTGTGTACCATAGTTTTTGTATTTGCAATATATTTTGTGAGCACTTCCCATGAATTAGCTATCTAAGATATTAAATCAGTAGCTGAGAAGTTAGATGTCACTCATTGTCTTGCTAAGCTAGAGTTCAAAAAGCTAAGCTTCTAAGTTGGTTACTTCCAGATTTAAACTTTGTTTGGATTTTTTACTCTAGTTTCACTAATCATGTTTATGCTAAGATGATCTTATGGATGATGAGGAGGACTGCATTTTTGTTTTGGCGCGATATTGGAATATATTTATCTGATGAAATTTAATATTCTTATTGATATGGTGTTAATGTAATTTTTAATGCTTAATTACACTTATCTCTTCTACATATTGTCATATAAAATTACTTCGTTTTTTATTTTTAAATTACACCTGCTTCCCTTGTTTTTAGACATTGTATTACATATCCTAAACCGATAGGATTAAAAATAAGAAGAAAATGCAATTTTCAAAAAACACGGAGAGGAAATGTGCAGTTTTAAGTGTGATTAATGCTATTTTTACATATGAAAATTCCTATTCTAGGAATTTGCAGGAAATGTAATTATCAGTCAATATTGTTGAACTATCTATTATACTTGAGCAGATTAAGTTACTTGGAGCTATTATTAAAAAGATGAGGTATAAGTGGGGTCACAATGTTTAGAGTTATAATTGGTGGTTTAAAATAGAAGCTTTTCATAAGTACTAGGCATTTCAAAGAACCAGACAGCTTAGGAGCTTACAAAGCTGAGCTTTTAAAGTTTAATTTATTGAATTAAATAGCAAGGGTTCTCCTGTAAGCCCCTTTGTGTTTTACAATATGCTCTACTCCTTATGACCAATTTTCAAATTTGACTGCACCACCCTCCACAATTATTGTAACTTGTTTGATGAATATTCATGATAACTAAGCAGATGATATCGGGTTACTAAAGATATAGTTACCACAATGTCTTATTGAATAACGTACGCTATTCCATATCAGGAGAGTTAAACTTGAATTTTATGAGTTTGCAACTATATTGTTTGTTTTGAAAGTTTTGGGTGGCAAAAATAAGGTTTCATTTGTTATGTTTTTTGTTATTCGAAAAGTCAAATGAAACTTGCTGTTATATATATATATATATGGTGAAAGCTGACTATGGTAAACTGTTGATTTATGTAGACTTGCGTTTGAGCTATTTTTTCTAACTGGGATGTTAAAAGTTTTTGTTCGTCGCAGTTTAGTAGTGTAAAACAACTGTTTTACTGTTTTAATTGCCTACAAATAAAAATACGTTTAGAGACTCTATGAACGTTGTATCATTGCATAAGTTGTCAATCATATAATAATATGTTAAAACATAAAAGCTTTGCAAGGTTTCCCATGATTTTAACCTGACTAAAATCATAGAACAAAACATTATGGCAAGACTCGATTTCCCTCTTTATTTTAATGTCCTCTAATATTCAGTCTGCCAAGCCAAACATAACCATTAACCACCTGAATCTGAGAACATCTAAATAATGGGTCTAAAATATTCTCAAAATAATAATAATAATAATAATGGGACTAAAAGTTATTGCAAAATTTTTGTGTTTCACGTTTCAATCTCTTAATATAGAACTTCAATCTTCATATAGAATTTCAAATGAAAATTGTGATACAAAATTTTCAAAGTTGATTCTTCAATCTTAAGATGTTACGGATTTTCATTGTTAATTAGCTCCTTCATTACAATATTTCTCCCGCATTTTACCATCTGAACACTATTTCCATTAGATAATTAAGATACATGTGATCCAAGTTAAATATAGCACATGTTCTAATCAAAGGTCTATCTCTTGAAGGAGAATTTTAATATGTGTGTGTGAGTATTAATTTTCAAAAAAATGAAAAATATAGTTACCTTATTATATTTTCATGCCGCCTTGTACAATATGCGTTTGCATTTTATCCGCTTGTTGTCGCTAACCTTCCTTCCTAATGCCTAAAGACTCATCATCTTCCTCTACTTTTTGATTTGCTATGGTGATCGTAAATTTAGGCTCCCATACAATCCTCTTCCTTAACATGTTGTGCCTCCCTTTTCTAGGTAATATGAGAATGCTTTTTGTAGAAAGGTCGAGAAATTTTATGCTCTTATTTCTCAATTATCAAATTAGAAATCTTCTCCTTATATAATAAGGAACGAGTAGGGACTGTCCTTTTGCTGTCATACAACAAAACAGCCTTAATCCCACTACATGGGGTCGGCTACATGAATCCTTTTTCTCCATTGCGTCCTATTTAGTGTCATATTTTCATTTAGTTCTAGTAAATTAAGATCATTTTTAATACAATAAGCTCTAGTCTTCCAGGTCTACCTCCGCCTTTCTTAACACAAGTCGAATCTAAAACATCTACTCTCCTAATTGGATCATCAGATGGTCGACGTTTAATGTGACCAAACCATCTAAGACGACTTTCTCTAATTTTGTCTGTCACAGGAGCTACACTAACCCTATCATGAATATATTCATTTCGCATTTTGTCTCTAAGTGTAAAGCCACTCATCCACCTAATCATTCTCATCTCGGCAACACTTAACTTATTATTATGCTTCTCTTTTAAAGATCAACATTCAGCGCCATAGAGCATTGCAGGTCTCACCACCTTCTTATAAAATTTTACTTTCAGTCTAAGCGGTACTATTCCATCACACAAAAGGCCCGAAACTTTCCTCCACTGCAACCAGCCAACTTGAATTCT